ATTTTTACACTTGACTAAACTATAGTAAGTATAAGAATATCGTTAAAGATATAGATTTGTGTACCAGATGTGTGCACCGCACCTAAAAAACGCCACATGGGTCGATCATTCCGCGTCTCATCAGATCAGGAGCGCGGTTGTCCCGCCCCGCCGAGCAGCTATTCAACGATCGCCTCTGGCTAACTCAAGGATTCTTTGGATGATTGTTTTTTTCAAATGTTTATCGTATCAGTATTTCTGAATACACAGTGTCTTAACTATGAACACTTCCATATGAACAGCAGTATAACATTAATAAAACCATGAAAGTCTATTTTTTCATCAAATTTAACTCGATACATGTATAGGAGGTATCAAAGGTCATCTATCGGACTAAAAAATTAGCACATCTTCATGAAGTTTCGAATAAGTGAGCTAGCTTTTTTCTGATGATCGAGTGATGTTCCAAATTTATTTTCATAAATCAACAGCTTAACGGCATATTTGAAATCTAGCGCGGTCGACTTTAATACAAAATTCAGTTTTTTTTTTCGAGTGATTTTTTCCCCACTAATAGCCAACCGTAAAAACATGGAATTTTTCCAAAATCTGCTTGACGTATCTCATTTTGTAGAGGTCTTTTCAATGATTAGTTTCATAAAATAAATTTTTCTATTCTGACCAAAAAATGAAATAGTACTACGGTTGAAATCCTATAAGAAAAAACGTCGAATAATTATAGAAGTCCAATGGAATTCGACATTTCAGTATCATGAGCTCAACATCATCATGGATTGGTGGAAATAGAATTTTTTTTTAATGAAAGTAATCATCCATAGGAACTTTACAAAATTGGATGCGTCAACAAGGTTTTGAGTGCTGTTTATGCTTCTATAATTCACTACTTATAAAAGTGCTCTGCCAGGTATTCTCTATAACTAGACATATTCTGTACGAAGTTTCTGCGTAAGGATCCACGGAAGGACTTCACGATATCTTGCAGAAGCGCTAAATACATTAGCGAAAACTCAAAACTTGAATATAAATTATTTGGTATATTGCGAAAGATGAACAAATGAGGAATTAAAATCATATGAAAGAAACTCGAATCGACTGTCCAGTCTTGCCAAAAACATATTACTTTCTCTTTTAGATATATAATAACAATTTTAGGCGATATTCTTAACTTTTTTTTCCTGATGAATGAACACTTGAAACTATCCTTTATGATCAGGAACAAAATAGCTCGTAAGATTAAAATACGATTTTAATCTACAAATTTATTTTCGGCAAGTGACTTTTTATGATACTCTTTAACTGATCAAAATGCTGGTTTTGCTTTATTTATTGCTTTTCTCGATTTCAGGGAAATTCTAATGTAAAATATTTTATTGATATAACTTATTGAACAATACATTTCTACATTAAGTAGAAACCGAAGTACGAAAACGAAGCAAACAATTTATTTAGTATTAGTAACGAAAAGAATATCAAAAGAAAAAATAAATAAATGTATATGTAACCTGGAACGTTTATTATAGAATTAAGAATTTTTGGCAATTCAAAACCACTAGTAGTAGAAGTTAAAAAATAACAAGTAGTTTTCAAGGATGATTACTAAAATTGATGTCCGATTGTGTACCATTTTTGGTTTAACATAATAAGGACAAAAGTGTTACTGCACGACATTAAAATAACCGTTTCAGACCCACCGTGCCAAATACGGTACGGTTTTTTCAAGTTTTGTAATTTTTAAATAACTCGCGAATTCCATTAGATATTCAGATGCAGCTTTCTTTATTACATAGAGGAGGTTTCGGTGTACACGTCAGTATTAAAACTATAACTATAATAAATTCATTCATGTGATAAAAATGATTAATAGTTAACCCTTTAAGTACCAGCGGAGCCTATAAGGCACACTTTTTTCAAACTTGATAAACTTCGAATAACTCGAGAACGCAAAACAATATCGAAGTGCGATTTTCGTTATGACATAGAAGAGACTTCGGTGCATACATCTATATAAGAGTTATAACCCTAATGACGTCACTCGAGTAGTAAGCCTGATTGATTTTTGGAACACCACCGCTATTCTAAAAAGGAGAATGACAAACAATGCCCTTTTGTAGTCCCCAAAAAAATTTCGGTTTTCCGTGTTGAAATCAAGCTAGGAGTGACTCCTAGTGGTATTCCAAGGTTGATTTTGTAACAGCTCTCGATCAAATTTTGACCTAAGCCCGTACCCCCCAGGGGGATGGCCAAAATACTTATTCACCATCCCCGTAGCGGGGTACGGGCATGGGTCGAAAATGACTTAAAAGATTTTTTAAAAAGTTTTGATGAAAATATCCACAACACACACTGCCTATATTAAATATAAAGTCTCAAAGAAATTTCATCCATTGACTGAGCCATGGGCCTGAAAGGGATAAACTTGATTTTTCAAGTTTCAACTTCAACAAATTGTAAATGTTAACATGATCAAACTGACACCGCGTGGTGCACGCCTCTGTAGTGTACCATACAAAACTGTTGTTCACATAATGAATTTTATAATGTTGAGTTTAAATAAAACTAATTAGGAAAGAAAGCCGACTCATCGAATAATTATCGTAGCTTAATTGATAATGATGATGACCTTCACAAATACACTAAGAGTCTTATACCAACACTGTCGTAGCAAAGATTTCTGCGATGGAAACATGAGCATCATAATGTCATTCATTAGAAATAACACAGTCAAAAGCTAGTTAATGGCATATATATCAACAAAGAATATTTCTTTTTTTTTAATCTATACTTGTCTTTAGGATCAAGTAAGAATATTGATATAATCATAATCAAACTAGCTATTCAAGTCTATCAGTTTTTATTCACGCTAATACACGTATGTTTGACACAAAAAAAAATACATAATAAAAAAAGAAAAACATTTCATGTACATTTTTTGCTTTTCTTCTGTTATTACCACAATTCTTATTTCAGAATGGAATCATGAATATTTCCATTTAGATCAATAAATTTCACAAATAACAAGCCATTACCACCAATAATTGAATTTTCAATAAAAAATCTTCTTGGACCTACTTATGTAGCTTTTAAATCAATTAAGCCAATATATTTACGTGCAATTATTGGACCAAGCATATTACTTAATTCACTTTGCCTATTTATATTTTCCCGACAGAGATTATCAAATAAATCGACTACTATTATTTTTTTACGTGTTCTTGCACTTTTTGATATATTATCAATTATACTTAAATACATTCGAGAAGAAATCAATTATCAATCAACTGAAAAAGGTCATGAGATATTCTTTATGACTTCATCAGCTTGTAAAACATTATATGTATTAATGAATACATGCAGTTCAATTTCTATGTGGATAATTGCTTTAATGAGCTTGTAAGCTTTCCTTTTTACTTTCTTTTTTGTATTTATAAGAAAATACAAATAAATAACATAAACATTTTACTTTTATAGAGATAAAGCTATCGCTGTTAGTTATCCACTTAAATCAAGTATATGGCTAACCCATAAGCGAGCGTTTCAGATTTGTTGTTGTACTATTATTATACTTTTGCTTGTCAATTTATCGTTCATTACATTTTCTGACATGCTGCCAAATATAGATAGCCATAACTACTGTGGATTAAAGAAAATTCCTATTATCATCGAAATACATAGTGCTTCAATTTTGCCTATAGGTAAGTATATCTATTATATATTTATTGATTTCATCAGTATATTACGTATGAAAATTGAATGTGTAGGATGTGATAACAAATACAACATAATTCGTCTCCGTATATTTTTGTAGTTCAATTATTAATAGTAAACANATAGAACTTAGTTACTGATGTACAAAAAATTTCAACTCAAACGATTGATGTTTTGTTGATTTTCTGGAGTGTCCAAAATCGTTGCTCGTGAAAGTGCGTTTTATAACGATTTATAGTGCTTTCAGTAAAACTGTGATAAAAAACGAACGATTCAATATTTTTCGAAGCGGCTTTCACCAAAAGTCATTAAACACTTGCCTCTATCACATATGTAAAAATGAGTCAAATGGGAGAATATCGATTGAGCGCTGTAATGGAGAATCGGCTGTGGCTTACGTGGAATGGCTCATATAGGACATTAATTTTTGTTAATGTTTTATGTGATTATATCTTTTCATCCATGCATGAAACTTATGATTAAGGATGAAGATTCCAACTGAAAGAGAAAAGCAAGTGAAAAAATTAGTTTAGGATACAGAGTATGTCTCTTTGCTCCAGGCATTCTTTTTTCTTCTTAAATATCAATTCAAACATTTTTATATTTCTATCATCCCATGGATACAGTGACATACATAATCACAACAGATTGCTCTTACTTATTGTTCTACTAATTTTCGTATAAGTTTATCTGATAGATTTCTTCTTATGAATATTTTTGCTAATACCTTCTATATTCCTTTAATACATATACAGTATGTTATTAATCAACCCAGTATGTTAATTTTTCATTTAGCTAAATTTTCTATGGCTCTTCATAAAAACAGCCTAATATAAGATTTTTTTTTAAAATACTGCTTCAAAGTGAGTCGTTGATGTCGCAGATATCTTTAATTCAAAGTATTTCGACACAGATAATTTACATAGAGTGTTCGAAAAGTGTGGCTGTTTTATTTGCATATTGGTAATATGATTCGATGAAAACATTGAAATAAAAAGAGACACGTTTATCAAGGAGAACGAAAAAAAGCTACCAAAAATATAATGAAATCTAAGATAAAACATTGAATTCTTTTTTTGTTTTTTGAGTATTTACCTTTGACAAGAAAAGAAATCAAAGACACGAGGTGATATAAAGTATATTGAAAGATTCATATAGTAAAGATGAGAACAGGACTTTTAGTTTTACTTATCTCTCGACGCTACTCGTAGCCAACCGAAAGTATATCATAGTCCTCCGTTCCTAAAGAGACATGATTCATCAACCCATGTTTTTTTTCTTAATGTTCGTTTAGAATGTCATTAATTTCCTGGAATTCTTGGAATGAAAGTAACCTCAATCGCGTCATTGAACAATTTGATCCAGTGAGTTTTTTTGGAATTCCATCAACTTTATTTGACAGTAAAGACATTATTCGGTATTCTAACGTGAAAGCAGTAAAGTTAAACAGCGGTAATTGGGATTATTATACACCATTCAAAGGTTGGATATGTTATAGTTTAAATGCAGAAAAATTTGGTTCTACATGGGTAATCTCTTTAGACTCTTCAGATGAATGGATTTTTGGGTTTCATGGATTTAGACGTGATACACTACAATCCTTACGATCCATAGCTGAAGAGCACTTAAAAATCGATTGTGCCGCTGATAATAAACAGTTCGCCACCTCCAAAGATGTCGGACCTAATGCTCCATTCTTTAATCAAAGCACATGTGGAAAAGGTATATGTTTAACATCAAATCTTAAATATATGATGAACTGTAGACTAATTGAACCAATAAAATATAATAAACATTGTTTTATACAAGTGCCTTTACAGTGTCGAATTCATTCGTTGAAGATTCTATGTAATTTAATAAATTTTTTTATCAAATTTAACCCTTTCAGTCCGGGATTATTTTTAAACCGTAAAAGTTTTAATAAGGGTGTGAGTGTGAGTGCAGACATACTTTTCTCTCAAATCCATCAACATCATTTTACGTTGAAAATAAATTCAAGTATTATCCAGAAATCCTTCTTGATAGTTAAGAAAAAATGAATTTTGCAACTGTCCATTTTTGTTGTTTACTTCTCAAAGTTAGAATGATAAAAAATATAAAGCATTATCAGAATATATAATTACTTGTTGAAAAACTTATTTCTACAAATGAGAAATGAACAAGAAAATGAAAGAAAGAAAGAAAGAAATCCACTCTTTTTTTTATAAATTTAAGTGACTTAAAGATTTCTATAAAATCTGAATATAAAATCATTTATCTCATATGTTTTCTTCGAAGAAATAGATGACGTATCATCATTGAAATATTTTTTGTAAAGCACTTCTGACTTGAACTCGTTTTCTGTGTACTCAAAAAGTGAGTACACTCTAGAATCGGTCAGTATGTCCGTCCGGCCGTTTACACGATAATTTTCGAAAGGAGAGTCAGATCATGATGAAATTTTCTACACAGTTCAGTCTTAACAATGTCTCAGTCGAGTTCGAAGATGAGAAGGATCCGTCAAGAAATGGCTGAGTTATCGAAAAAATTGTCATTATTGACCAGACCATTCCTGAGGGAGGGTACAGGGATTTTTTTTAAAAAAAAATATTTTTCTCAAAATTATTCACAACATATATAAATCGACTCAGTTTTTAACGCTGATTCGGAATCTGATATTATTTTTGAACCAATGTGTCTCAGATGACCAGTAGTTTTGGGGTTTCCCAAATGCCTGATTTTGTAGCTAGTCAAAAGGACTATCGAAAGGTAAAAACCCTAATTCGATAGCTATTAATATTGGTAATTTATTAGGAAAATCCTGATGCCTGTATCTATGATATATCTCTTATAGATTGATGAGGTTGCTTAAGATCGTAATCCTGCTAGATACAAACGCAAATCCATTCAAAAATAACTCTTCTTACCCAATTTTCCAAGCTAAACACGAATCTGAACTCAATTCCTGTGATTTCTAAAGATATAATATCACTGTGAGAGTAGAGTCAGTGGTCACCGGATAGGGTCGCATACAGTATGTTCCATGCTAACTTAGCACGTCTGTATTTTCTCCTTGCAATTTAGTGATAAAAAACACAGTGAATATACCTTTTCGCTTTTTGAAGTACACATAACACTCGGATTTAAATCCGAGGTTTTCGCATTTATTTTCTATATTTTTCCTTTCTTCCTGTTTCCATCATACCGAACTAACTAGAACTTTATACAAAGATAGAAACTCGGCAGAGAATATTAGAGAGATTAATACATGATTAGTACTGTTAGCTTATCTTTTGGACATGCAGTGAAAGAACGAAAAGAGAGGAAAAAAGCTGACCTTCGTGGGGATCGAACCCACACCTCCTGCTATCCGGGCAGTTGTCCTAAGCCAATTAGACTAGAAGGCGCACTCAAATGATAAGGGAGCGTCCACGTGAATTATCATGCACGCTAACAAGTACAAAGAACGAAAGAAAAGTGATTGCACTGGAACACACTAGAATGAAAGATTGTGTGTCATGATGGACAACGAAAAAGTAACATTGAGGAAATATACATGTGTAATAGTATCGAGCAGAAAGGAAAGAAAGAAGGAATGTACTTGCATGCCATCACCTAACAAACGATAAAAGATTTTAGAAACAATTAAAAACTATACTACTGACACTTTCCTTCAATAACTGTAGTCGGACGTATTTATACGTCGCCTGGATCCAAAGGGTTAATTAGGAATCACAGAAATCTTAACAGGATTCTGATCTAAAAGCAATCATAAATCTCTCAGAATCCTGATTGAATCCTGTTTCAAATCTTTCCAGGATCCTGAAATTTTGTGGCTACACACTTTCTTCAGGCTTTCAACGTTATCGATGCACGGTTTTTGATCGTATATCAACAACATGTTACACAATCCATGGCGAAGTCCATGCTGTCTGCTACGGTATGTGATAGGATCCCAGGCTGCCTATCACGATCTACAATGGGGCCCCAAAGTGCTTGTTACAAAGATGGGCAAAGCCAGTTTTTGTTTGACACAACTCAAGTCAAGTCGAGTTAATTTATCGGTCTACAAAAACTTTTTTGAAGTTAACTCAATTCAAATGATCGGTTCAAAATGTAAAATTCCAAGTCAAACCAAGTCAAGTCTCTGCTCTGATCAAGTCACATCAATTTATGTCTCAAATCAATTGCAATTTCAGGCCATTGACTTAAGTTTTTTTTAATTTTCGTGATCCACTTATGTATCAATTTACTGAAAAAACTTTTTACATCAGCTCTCGATAATATTTTAACATTGTTAACATTGGTAATGTCTTTCTTGGCATTTGTAGCCAGATGTTGCCAAAATAGAAAATCTCTTAAAATAGAGGTGTCACTTTTGCGTTTCGTTCCTAAAACGGGAACGCAAGGTGCGTTTCCGCTCTCAGGAACGAGGAACGCATAACACTCTCGCATAAAAAGACAAGCAAAGAAGTATATAAACCTGGATAAATTGCTACCATTCTAGAAAACACAATATGAAGTGCGTTCTCATTCCTTGGCAACGGAACGCTCAAGAACAAGATCGCTGATACCCTGATTTTAAAACAATATTGTATTTAAAAACAATGAAGTTGCAGGTGGTGTCAAAATCTTCCTTCTCAATTTATTTAGTGATTTTTGTTTTATTTTGATCGATTTATGAACATTAAATCTATTCGAACGATTATTATCATCATTAAGATAATTAGTCATTTCATCTTTCATAAATATAACATTATCAAGCGTTTTTTTTTACATAAGCCATACAAAAGTAGTAGCGGAGATATTTGAATATCGTATAGAAAGCTTCAGAAAACTTTCTGTTTTCTTCATACTGATAGCAAAAACAGAGCTCTACATTTCTGAAATTTGTCGTTATTTTTCATCTAATATCATAATAAGAAAATTCGCATGAGAATGTTAACCTATGATATGGAACGAAAATCTCTTCCTTACTACATCTGCACCTTGTATTTCTTTATTTCGCATTTGTGTGTATTGGATCTTGCACTCCGCATCTCGAATGTCTACATCTCAAATTATCGTATTCCGGATTTTATTTTTCTCGCCTCGTATTTGTGCACTTCACATTACCGGTTTCTGCGTTTCAGATATCTTAATTGAAACATCTTTCATTCGCGCATTTCACATATCTTGTTTTGCACGTTTCAGCTTTTAGCATTTTCGCATTCCCATTTAGCAATCAATATGTTTTAAGATTTCACACTTTCGCCTGTAAGAGGCCAATAGCAACATCACATCTATCATGATATGAAGATGGAAAGAAACAACTCTTTCACGAAACATCACGATGATTGCCCTATAATACACTTTGATTATGTCTTGAATCTCTGGTTATAGGCAGATAATCTCATTCATACGAAAACTATGTCTATACTTTACTCTATCTATCTTCATTGCTCTGGTTTTAGGTACTGTACAATACGCAATCTTGTTCCCAAGTGTTTTATTGAATAAATTACCTCAAAATGAAAAAAGAATGCGCAAACATGAATAGTGGTAAGCAATGAGGGCACTGATTTGCAGTTTATGCCATGTAATTCTGTGAAAACATCGTTCTATTCGAGTATCAATTCACTATCAATAAACAATGTAGAAGATAAACATCATCAGCATTGCAAGACCAAATTGGTTTTCGCCACATCCACTGTTCGGAATGTATGGTGGATTCCGAAAAAAATCATTGACAATGTTTGTAATATTACCAGACACTTCTGGTCCGTTGCATATCGGTATGCGTGTATTGCAATTGTAGTCGATCGAAATTGTAGTATTGGTTGGGGCTGGTAGAGCATTTTGCGTGTACACGTGAATACCCATTAAGGTGCTCGGCCAGCACAAACGCTGCTCCCGTGAGAAACCTGATAAAAAGTTGCAGCTTGTATTGCACGAACCAGCCGTATTGCTATTATCCACGATACACGTAAGATTGGGTGTGGCAAATAGAATTTCGCTCTTAGGCGTGGGATCATAGATAAAAGGTCGCACCCGCCGCTCCAATTCAACAAACTGATAGCCGAGCAGCTTATCAGCCATTGTTTTCGCGAATTCACGCGAACACTCGTCTCGATCGAAGCATGAATTGCGAACATAAGCTCTTGTTTCTGACACATTTTCATAGAAGTCGACTTGTGTATGATGATAAAAAAGCTGACTAACTATCAGCGGATTTTGACTCTCGTTGATTGCCTGTAATGAGGAATCACCATCGAACGTTATATTTAGAGAACCGTCAGCAGTAAGCCAGAGACTTGTGGAACATTTGACAAATGTATCGTTCGTCGCACATTCTTGGTTAAGGCGACTTAGCGTATTGCGCCGTATGCTGTTCAGTCGACAGTTAGATGGACATCGACGCTTATTATCCACACATACTGCACATGAGACTAGCCAGAGTGTCAAGAGTACCACTAACAAAAACCCACCAGATGACATTTGAATCGTGATGTTCGATGATAGGACTAAAAATGAAAAATGAGGACGTACAATCATGCAGTGATCGCCTGAAAAAATAATCGAAGTTAATACTGCATTTCATGTACTTGAACTATGCTAGAGAAAAGTTGCAAATGCGTCGGTGTAAAAAAAGAGATAAAAACGAACTGGAACGGGCGGAAGAAGATAGTATGTTGATTTTAAGCTCACGTGGTTAGCGTAGCCATATCTCAATACTTACGAGGGTATCACCCAAGATGATACCTCTTGTTTAACATGAAATTCCAGTCAGTAGATAATGCTTATTGAAACTA